TAAAGGTGTGTTGCTAAGGAGGACTGTGGCTCACAGGAGAATTGTTGGCTTTTTTACTCAAAAGAAGCATCTGTATAATTCAAATATTTTTTTAGATTATAGCAGACTTGATCACATCCTTACGATTCCTGGCGTTTAGTAAAAAAAACACGGTGCGGTCTATATCGTTGTAGAAATTTTGAAGAGTTGGCTTTATTTAACATTGAATCACCTATTTTTTGTATGATACAGGGCAAATGGCCAGACGGACGACCTGATGGAAAGTGTCCACTACCAAGTGTTTACCATGGTTCAGGTGGTGAATGATGATCCTAAAGATATTGAATTCTTTAATATCTTAATCATATTTCAGATAATTAGTTTGTTTATTAACGTAATCAGGTACGGTTTGCCCTCTCTAGGAACAGTTCGACTGAATCAGTGATGCAGTTGTAGCGTATGCGACTGCTGTGCTGAGGTCTCGAGTTCGATTCCCGGGTCTGATTACATGTTTGTATGATTTGCAAATATTTGTTTCGGAGTTTGGATGTTTTCTAGTATAATATAATGTATTTACAAAAATAAACTAGGTACATTTATAAGTATTTTATCAGTCAATATAGGTTTGGTGAATCTAGATAGCGTTGTGTGTCAGATGTACGAAATTAAATATACAAAAAGTTCGTGTTTTTGTTGTGGCTGTGAAGTGGTTATCCGGTGGTGGTGGTGTTCCGAATAAAATTCCATGATATAGGAGTCAAAGCGCCTCTCGCGCTGTGGGCCTTTTAAAAAAAGTTATAAATTTTTATATTATCTATAAGTTTTCACAATCATCCATAAAACAAATAGATTGAACAATTTACTGATAAGTTCTTGTCTGAATTCTATCCCTTATTCTTGTACTTCATTTGTAAGGCATTTATCAAAGTGTGCCGTGTTCTGACCTGATTAAACTTTAGTTGAACAAAATACGTCTCAACTGTAAGAGGTGAGTTCAGAAATCGACGGCCATGTTTATGTAATGTTCCACTGTGACTGAAGTCAAACGGCTTTACCGCTACTATTTTATATTATAAACATTGTCTACGATGGAAATACATATTCCTACGTTAGCATATCCCGCCCTAGGGGTGATCATGGTCACCCTAGGATGTGCCTCAATCGTGGGGTACGGCAGGGAGGCCTCTAGAAGGCAGGCATGGCAGGGAGGCATCATGTTTTAAATATTATTCAGTTGAAAATGTTGGGTGTTCTGCTTTCTGTACCAATAAAAATACATTATTTTGATGGTTAATTCCCCTCCGTGGTTTTATTTAGGTATTGATTAAAATATAACATTATTTTAATATGTTTATTTACAGTTAATCATATTATGAATATTCCTCTTATTTTAAAAACTCCTTTTATTATCTAATGATATTGGTTAGGTTAGATTTGTAGAGCAACACAAAAATATATAAAACAGAATTAGCACTGCACAGAAGTGATGTAATTCAGATACGGGCAAAAATTGAGGTTTTGATGCTGTACTGAACTGAAATAAAGACGATTTGTATTTAAATTCAAGATATCTAGAAAAACTCATTTTTTATCACAAATTCGTAAATTTTCTGCACAAGACGTTTCAAATTTACTACCTTGTTGCGAATATTTGTTTTAGAACTTATTTGATCGTTGCGTTTTTGCGTTTGTCGCAAACTTTACAAAACACACAGAAACCAGACAACGCATGCATTTATTCCATTCAGACATTACACACAAAAGACCCATTCGTTATTGATAACTCATTTTCTGCGAAACCCTCGTACCTATTGTATATAGTCGGTGGTGTAATGTCATCCATTGTCACAATCGGCAGCTCACGTAACTGGGCAATCGATTGTGACTAATCTAGGTATTATGAGCTATGGATTTTTATTTTCTTGCTTGAATAAAATGGAAAAAATTGTAAAGTATTAGTTCTAATTAAGTAGATACCTATAACATAAATGGGATAACGGTACTCTCCCGTCCCTAAGAAGAGGCACCAGAAACCGGAAATCTGGACTGTTCTCCAGTGGTTACGGGTGAGAATGTCCGGACAAAAGCAAGTCCAGCTTAACTGCCTAAATTGCAAGGGTACGCAATGCCCTTCGCACGCAATAAAGTGACGCTTACCGTTTAGGAGACTATGAAAGTTTTCCGGAAGAACCTCACGAATAAGTCCCTTTAATTAAACTCATCGGATCGAATGACTTCTCTTAATTCTGGAGTACAATTATACAATTGTACCTACTCCAGAATTAAGAGAAGTCATTCGATGAGGTTTATAGAAAATTAGTATGTTGTTTCCGCAAGCATCTACTATTCTTCTTTTTGCATTAATATACAATGAAGTATTCTATATCTGTATTTTTTTTCTGTTAGAGGGGGCAGACGAGCAGACGGGTCACCTGATGGAAAGTGACTACCGCCGCCCATGAACATCTGCAATTTCCAATAACTTTGAAAAATAAAGAATAGCTTAGATTTTTCTTTTAGATGAAATGAGCGGATATAGTATGAAAAACCCTTAATAGGACCTCTGTTACTATTGGCTCCGCGCCACGGTACACTTTCCGATTAGATTATTCTGAATCATCGATGAATTCCGATAGAGCTAAATGCACGTCAATTTATGGAAGTCGTGGTTTACGATTTGGATTCTCACCGCCTTCTGCTTGCCAAATACGGTTTTATTAGATCCATGAGTTGGTAGCAATCAATAGTTTAGAGAGTACTCTAAACTACTAATACTCTAAACTACTAATATAGTAATATAATCCATTACAATTGTGTTTTTTATCGCCATAGTCGTAGAATAGTGTCGGATCTGACTTTTATTGAACTTTACAGGGCGGCCATTTCAAATAATTATGTTATTTTTTTGATAAAAATTTTTAATTCTAAATCTGTAATTATGAAATAGGTTTGTTTTAAAAGACAATAAATATAACAACTACCTAATAACTATACAATTTTCTAAAAAAATCACATGCTTCATTTTACTTTGAGCGCCTATCAAACAAACACTAAATAACTTCAAATCTAAATACCATTTTTTTTTCTTGAATGTAGAAAGAAATGTTGTCACCTTTTTGCGGGTCCCATTGTTTTCGGTATTTACAGGAATTGTTATCGAATTATGATTAAATGCAAGAAACTATTATTCGTAATTCTATTACTACCACCGTCAACATATTAAGGTATTAATAATATTTCACTTATAGCAGATTTTATTTTAGAAAAATAGCAAATACAGAATTTTTACAAAGAACGGAATGTTAGTGTTTTAGTTTGCAATAGACCGTTACATTGTCTAGTACATTTTTAAATATAAATATTTATTTAATGAAGCCCAAAATCGAAGTGGTGTGCAATGGAGAGGCCTATGTCCAGTACGCAGTACGGAGACTGCGATAGGCTGATGATAATGATTTAAGAATGCTAAAATTAATCGTATCGTAATCGTAAATCGCCATTACAACAGGTTTTCAAATTGAAAATAGGCCTTTAACTTAAGTTTGTAGTGGAGTTCTCTACATAAGACTATTCACAAACCTTTCAATAGTCGCTGCTTGTGCCAAAAAGACCAATTCAAATTGAAACAAACAACATCACAACAAAGAGACGAACGTGTTATAAGAATTAAGTGTAACGAGAAGTCTTTGTGTAGTAGTTGTAGTACATGAGCGAACGAGGGGTCAGAATTCATACAACTACAGCCTTTGTTGTTATAACAATAGAGTTCTTATTTGTACAATGGATGTACCCGTTAACTTAACGCTAGGGTTGCCGCACCTTTAAAGTTATTGACTTTTTACTGGCTTAGGACTCTACTTGCGAACCACAAAAAGGTACTGTGAAATTATAAAATAAAAGAAAACGTATCTTTCCCGTTGGGTGGCCACGCGTAAGAAACTTTGATGATGTTTTGAGGAATTTTAAATGCTGGTAACCGCTTTGTGTACCCCACGCGTTCACGAGGACTCGCTTGCGTAATTAATGAACTATTACAGTTATTATTTCCTTAAGGTCACGATTTGTAACTATTTATTGAAATTCTAACTATGCCAAATGTTGTTTGGCTGGCTGGTTGTGTGGTATAGAAACATAAAATTTTTGTAATCTTACAAGCAACAACATTAAGAATACATTTTTTTTAAACAACATTTGAAAGGTGTTACGTCTTTTTGAGCAATAAAATCTTCACGCAAAGAAACAAATTGACCAATAGAGTGTAAATATGAAGACAAATTGAAACTGCTCTTATCGCCTAGGCCATCATCAGCTTTGTTTACCCAATAGCGTAACAGTAAATAAAAATCTTCATCTAGCAACTTAAAAACGCTAATGTAGTCATTCGTGCGCAGTCAAATATGTTAATTTCATTTTTGATTTAATTTGCTATCCATACTCGCATTCATAATATTAATAAATGCGAAAGTGTCTTGGTCTTTGTTTTAAAAGACAACTTCAATCAAAAAGACAACGCCCGCATTAGGAATTTATTCCTGTGTCGCGGGGAACTTTACAAACATACATGAAACGGACACAAAGAACACCCAGACTCAGAACAACAATTAGTGGATCACACAAAGTGTCGTCCCATGTGGCGTTGAACCACAACACTTAAAACCACTAAAGTGTGTCTGTCTGTTAGCACTTCACGATTAAATCGCTGAACCGATTTATATGAAAGTTGGTGTAGCGATAGTTTGAGTCTCGGGAAAGGACATAGGGTAGTTTTGACCCTTTAAAGAAGTGAAAACAGGGATGGAAGTTTGTTTGGGAAATCAATAACCGCTGAACCGATTTCAATGAAATTTGGCATGGCGAGACTTTGGTTCTTGAGGAAAGACATAGGCCATATATCGCGATAACCGATATTTACGCGAGCAGAGCACGGGCAAAATCTTGTAGTTAATATTTCTACAGCAAGTTAACAAGAAAGTTTCTGCTTTTTTTCGTTATGCATTGCCTTTATTCCGAGAAGGTTTTTAATGATACTTTCGCTTCGCTCGTCACCTACTTCGCTGTGGTCAAATGTGCCACTGAATACACAGCGGTATACATTAAGTGTTGAGGGAACAAACATTAAATGGAAATCGTACATGCATGAATAATATTTCGATGAAATTTATAACATAAATTCGGATTCAAGTGTTGATTAGTATACCAAAACCGCAAAAGGTACATGTACGAATGCGGTTATTATCACAATTAATTTTAGTCCACTGGCTTAACTCATTAAACACACGCGAAAACAGTTTATTTTTAATTGATGTCTTTTATCTGCCTGTATAACAGATTTTTATGTACTTCTTTTTTTATGTTAGAGGGCAGACGAGCGGACTGGTCACCTGATGGAAAGTGATTATCACCGCCCATGAACGTCTGCAACTCGGGAGTCAGAAACGCGTTGCCAGCCTTTTAGGAAGGAGTACGCTCTTTTCTTGAAATGTAAAACTTGTTTGTTCAATGTTTCCATACACAAATTTGCTGAGAATGCCTCTACTTGAAGATTTCTTCCTAGTTGATACGAACAGCTTTACTAAATTACAAACGTATTTTAGTAAGTTAAAAAAAACATTGTCTAATAAAGTGTATTGTTTTGTTTCAGTAAGCCTGGCATGGAGAAGGCAAAGGCTTACATAAAGAGCTCACTGGCTTCGAAGCCGGCGTCGCCGTCTGCCACTGCAAAGCCATCAGCGCAGGACGACGTGCGTGTGTGCTTTGTGTGCGGCGGCGCCGGATTAAGCGACCAGTACACCCTCAGGGTCAAGCCCGACACGCAGGTAACGACATTCCTCAAAAGATCTCTTTTTCACACTTAAGTACTAAAAAATGATTCTACTAATTATTAAAACAGGGAAGTTGACACTATACCCATTTTTTTGCTGTAAGAGACTAAAGGATTAATTGTAGTAATTGTTCTCATGTGATTACGTTTCAACCGGATTCAATACCCAAGAATAAGCTGACAGCTCTCAGGAGAAGATTACCCTGACACAGTAGTACGATAAAAAATGTAGTTAAGATTAACAAAGTTTTTACTCGAATTACCTACTCTTAATACGAATTGGAAGTTACTCTGTTGACAGCGTAGTCAAATGCAATTCCAGTGTTTTATCGAGAATTTGTAAAAGTATTGAGTTCTCTACAATAACTTTTAGGGTTCCGTACCTCAAAAAGAAAAACGTTTACAGTATTACTTTGTTCTCCGTCTGTCTGTCAAGTTTTTAGTAGAACTACTTTTTGAGTCAAATATCGGTAAAAAAAGATATAAAAAAAACGAGGGGTGGATCAGGAACCATTCTTATGAGATCTTTATTAATTAATGTTTGTAGTGGTTCAGTTAGAAAACTCGTAGTAAGGAAGTTGCAACTTTTCTAAAAATTGCAAGATAATGTTGTGAAATCATTTTCGATTTGGACCTCAGGGGTTCGTCTTAAACATTTCTTCGGTCGCGAATCTACTCCGCACGCCAAATACTAATTTGGTTTATGCTCAATTCTATTTCTAGATTTCTCGATTATTAATCAATCTGTAAAATAAATTGTCACCTGCGGTATTTCACTTCAAGTTTTCAAGACAAGAGCGAAGTCGCACCTCAAAGGCCACACTTCTGACTCTACACTGCAGGTGTCTAAGAGCGATGGTAGTCACTTACCAACTGGTGACCCACCTGCTCGTTTAATTCCCAATGTCATAAAAAAGAATTGTTTACCAGAATTTTGTTTTGTATGTAATAAATCAAGACACAGTTGACTCACACAGTTATGCGTCTGAATCTGTGGAACAAGTTGTCGTCTGCGGTATTTTCGGTTCGATACGACCTTCAAACCTTCAAGAAAAGAGCGTACTCCTTCCTAAAAGTCCGGCAACGTGTTTGTGACTCCTGGGTTGCAGGCGTTCATGGGCGGTAATAGTCGCTTTCCATCTGGTGGCCCGTCTGCTCCTCTGCCCCCTCTTACATAAAAAAAAAACCATCACAGTGTGTCGTGAACGATCTTACACGCTCTTGTGTTTATTATATTTCTATCAAATTGGCGAGTGTCACTGCGGCAGACAATTGAGCTATCGACCCCGTTCTGATGAATATTAATGGATATTTCATTCGACTGGGCAAAATTCACACTCAAGTGCTTATGTTTAAGTACGTTCTACTTTAACCAATTTTGTAGTTTTTATTTACGGTATATTGATGTCTATGTTGTAGTGGCCTCTGATCATAGGATGGACAACTAACGTGCGATGCCCCCCCCCCCAGCCTTATCTAAGGCAGTGAAACCTCAGTCCCGTTTCCTCATTCAAGATTTGCCGTTTCCTCAATCTGTCTTCTTCCTTATACATCTAATTCTTCTATATTATAATCCCATAGGGACTTTGCGAGAGAGAGATTACTATCCTATAAACTACTAAAAACAACAACACAATATTATTCTTTACTGTACTTTACTTCATCCGTGTGGTGGCGGATTAAGAATACAGACTGTCACCACCCCCAATCATCTCTTGGGTTTCGTAAGAGCCGACTAAAGGAGCAAACTACGCAAGACAACAGCACTGCAAATAGAAGGAAAACTTGACACAAACCCTATATCAACACGTCAGCGTGGTATAGTAGGCCAAGACCTCCTTTCTAAGAAGAGGCCCTTGTCCAGCAGTGACTCTGATCCCAAACTAGGCAGAGCCTGTACAATGGTAACCAGACTGCTGATAAATATACATACGAGTATTATAGATTAATTACACCCAGACACATAACAAATGACCGTGCTCATCACACAGTATTTGTCCTGGGTGGGAATTGAACCCACGACCTCTAGATCAACACGCCCGTCCATAATATTAGTATGGATGTTACTATAATGACAGATAGTGATCATCGGTGAAAATAAATTGATAAATATGGTCTCTAGTTAGGATCGTTAACTTCCATCCTTGAATTTCACCCGATAACAACAAACAGTCCATCTATCATGCAACAACGATGTCTTGACGTGCGCAATGACATGTCACCCAATTTGCGATCATTACCAGGAGTCGTGTGTTCAGTGTCGCAACCGGTTCGAACCGCTCGCCAATTGACAGTGTGCTTGAAACGATTGACATTTGACACCTAATCATGTTCCCTTGAAATGTGCTTCATAAATATTTTGATTTTTTGCTATCACAAGGAAATAATTATTAACATTTTTTTATATAATAGGGGCAGATGAAATCGGACCGGTCACCGCTCTCCATGGTCATAAAACGTATTTGTTTAAATCTTCGGCAATCTTACTCATTCGGTGAAATGCAACGAAAAATAATAGCATAACATCGATTCTTTATGAAGCTTTCATGCCGGTCGAACTTGTACATATATATGTGCTGTTTTATGCTACATTATTGATATAATATTGACTGCACGAATGGCGTAGTGGTTTAAGCGGTCACCTCGCCGCTTCTTATTGCGCTGAGTGTTGTGGGTTCGATCCGCACATGGGAAAACACTTTCTGTGAAACACGAATCGTTCTGAGTCATGGTGTCCATGGTGTTCGTTACATGTATGTTTGTAAAGTCTTTCGCGACACAGGATTCATTCCTAGTGCGGGAGTTGTCTTTAAAAAATAATAATTGTACATTTTCTAAAATCTTTTTAAACAAAGCCATTAACTACATGCATCACAAAAACACATAAAAAGTATAATAACCACGTTACACGTAATGTATTCAGTTAATGCTTATCATAATTAAACATATAATTTATTAAACCATCTATTTACATATAAATTACCTTAATTTGAATACATAAATTGTTTTAAATTAGTCATGTTTAATTTACTACAAAGTTTCTTTGATATTGAGCTTTGTGTTTATTCTTTCTTTATTTTAGTGACACGAACTAGTATCATTTCATATTATATTCTATAGACGTCATTATCAACAGCCTTTAATAGTCCACTGCTGGACATAAGTCTCTCCGGAGAAAGGAGGTTTTGGCCTACTATACTACGCTGGCCAGACGGGTTGGTATAGGGTTTGTGTCAAGTTTTCCTTCTCTCTGCAGTGCTGTTGTCCTGCGTAGTTTTTTCCCTTAGTCGGCTCTTACGACACCCACGGGATGAATAGGGGTGGTGACACTCTGTATTCTTAATCCGTCACCACACGGACTCCAGACGTGACCAGACGTGACGTCACCAGACGTCATTAAGCCCTGACTTATCATCAATAAACAGACACAGAGGTGATGGATTCACCAAAAAAAAAAAAGCCTTAGTAAACGACGGAACGAACGCAAATAAAATATTGTTTGGGTTCTTATTGCAATCATCGGAGGGGACCTCTAGCTACCGGCCGTCATACGCTCCATGGCCGGTAGTGGCAAATGTGATACCTAGTGCTCGCGTCCTTCTGTGAAGACGTCAGCTGGCAGAAGGCGACGGCGGACAGGGCCCGGGAGGACAACCCCCACTCCGACCCAATTCGTCGTCGGCAAACCGGGCGGCTCATGCCGCCCTGAGTGAGGCCGTGGGTGGGACGGGACGGGTTTCCCCGTGCACCCGCCATAACGGCCAGCCTGCGTGCCAGCCAGCGTGTGCCGCACGTTGCCTAAATAGAGAATGAACCCGAAAGCTGGTGTCCACGTCGTTGCGGGCAGGTGCTAGGAGGGCTCCGGATGTCTTAATAACATCAGTTCCCAGATTCCTCCTATTACATGCGCAGAGTGGCACACCGTGAGGTTTTAGTCGGTCCGATTCCGACACACCACTCCGTCCGCAAACCCCAGTGGGATGAAGGCCCGAGGGGATTTCGACACGTAAAAAAAAACACTGGAACATTACAAAATTAATCTTTTCCGGAGAAAATTTTGTTTAGTTGTCATTTTGGGCATATTACCTTTTCTATTTTCTTCAAAGAATATTTTGCAAAGTACAGATACCCTTTTCTTTTTTTTTTTTTTTTTTTTTTAACGTGTGGAAATCCCCTCGGACCGTCACCCCTCCGGGGTTTGCGGCGGGGTGGTGTGTCGGACTCGGACCGACTAAAACCACACGGTGTGCCACTCTGCGCCTGTAACAGGAGGGATCCGGGAACAGCTGTTGTTAAGACATCCGGACCCCTCCTAGCGCCAGCCCGCTCCTGGTGCGGGCTCCGTCTCGATGTTGTTCCTCTCTTTAGGCGACGTCCGGCACACGCGGACGCCGCCCCCTCGCGGCTGGCCAAACTAATGCGGGTGGAGGGGAAACCCACCCCGTCCACCCGCGGCCACACTCAGGGCGGCATGAGGCTGTGATATGCGGGCCTCCGCCGCCCGGTTCGCCGACGGCAGATCGGGTCCGAGTGGAGGTCGTCCTCCCGGGCCCTCTCCGCCGCCTCCTTCCGCGAGATTACTACCTCGCAGAAGGTTGCGACCGCGGTAAAACAACTGTCGCTACCGGCCATGCAGCGTACTACGGCCGGTAGCGAGAGATCCACTCCGATGACTGCAGTGAGGGCCCGGCTCTGCGCCGCCCATGCTGGACAGACCGCCAGCGTGTGCTGGGCCGAGTCACTGCAGTCGCAGTGGTGGCAGGCGGGACTCAGTTCCCTCCTAGCGACCGAGTGCAGGTACTTCCCGAAGCAACCGTGCCCGGAAAGCACCTGCGTCAGCCGGAAGGAAAGGGTCCCGTGCTGCCGCCCTGCCCACTCGGCGATGACCGGCTGGAGAGCCTCCACGGCGGCGAAGCCAGCGCGTGGAGTCTCCAGCCGGAACGACCAACGAGCCATCGTGGCTCGGCGAGCGGCTTCGCGCCACTCGCGCACATC